TCCCCCTGGGTAGAGTGCTAGGGCATCACAGCGCACAGCAACCTCCATCTCCTGGGCTCAAGCAAGTCTTCTGCCTCAGCTTCCCAAGTAGCTGGGACCACAGCCGTCATTGGTTGCAGCCGTCATTGTTGTTTGGCGGGCCTGGGCTGGATTCAAACCCGCCACCTTAGGTGTAAATGGCTGGCACCTTAGTCACTTGAGCCACAGGTGCCGAGCCCAGGAAACTGAATTCTGTGTCTGTCTCAGTTCTGAGTGGCACAGATGTAGGCAGCCGGGGTGGCACAGGCTGGAGGAAGGAGCATGAGCACTGGCTGGGAGGAGTAAGCCATGGTTAACCTTCTGTAGCTACCATCTCACTTGCATTCAGTTTTTTAGGCAGTTCTTAAGTGGAAAAAAAAAAAAGCCCAGGCTTTTCTTTCAATGGGCAGTTTTCTAGCTAACTCTAGCATTTCCTTTACTCAAATGTTTATTAAGAGATCCCATCTCAAAGGGTCTCCAAACCCCATGGTAAAAGGGGAAAATCAGAGAGGCCCCCTGAGCCCACTCTGGCCTCTGAGACCTGCCCTCAACAGGCTCTTGAAGACTGGTTGCCCCCAAACCTCCCTGCATCTGCAACGGTACATCAGGCTAGGTTTCCATCCCTGAACTTTTTGGTTAATAAGCTGCAAGTTGAGCTACAGAATCTGTGTTGATGTTACTATTTACTCTTTTTTTTTTTTTTTTTTGAGACAGAGCCTCAAGCTGTCCCCCTGGGTAGAGTGCTCTGGCATCACAACTCATAGCAACCTCCAACTCCTGGGCTCAAGTGAGTCTACTGCCTCAGCCTCCCAAGTAGCTGGGACCACAGGCGCCCTCCATGATGCCTGGCTATTTTTTGGTTGCAGCCATCACTGTTGTTTGGCGGGCCTGGGCTGGGTTCGAACCCACCACCTTAGGTGTATGTGGCTGGTGCCTTAGCCACTTGAGCCACAGGCGCCGAGCCTATTTACTCTTTAAAATACATCAATCTGATCTACTTGACAATGGACTGGATCTCTGCTGACAGGTTCTCCGTGTCTTTCTCACCATCACTCTCTCCTCCTCAGCCTCTGGAGACAGGCAGAGAGAAGGCAGAAGCAGAGGGAGCCTGTCTGGGAAGTACCAAGGATGAGAGCGAATCCTATGTTCATGCTGTTTGTTAGATGGGTTTGTTTTGAGACAGGGTCTCACTCTGTCACCCAGGCTAGAGTGCAATGGCATCATCACAGCCCAATGCGGCCTCAAACTTCTAGGCTCAAGCAGTACTCCTCCTTGGCCTCCTGAGTAGCTGGGACTACAGGCGTGTACCACCACACCTAGCTAATTTCCCTATGTTTAGTAGAGACTGGGTCCCACTCTTGCTCAGCCTGGTCTCAAACTCCTGACTTCAAGGGACCTTTCTGCCTTGGCCTCCCAAAATACTAGAATTATAGGTGGAAGCCACTGCACCCCATTGTGTGTGCTGTTTCTGATGAATACTAAGCAGGATTCCTCAGTTCTTGGCAGTGAAAACCTCCTCAAAGTCTCTTCCTTCCCCAGGCCCAGGATGGAAGGATAGGAAGCATTCGACCTCAGTGCATGGACAAGGAGGCCAGGGAAGCTGGGGACTGCCTGAGAGCTCACAGGAGGGAAGAGCTGTCTGCAGAGTGACTATGTGAACTGGTTTACCCAGAACAGAACCAGCTTATGGTCTATAACGGGCATTGTATCAGTGTAATTATTAAACGCACCCCATCTTCTCTCTCGAAAGTGAATGATTTGATAAATTATACAACTGCCCTCCACATCAGGGATTTTGCAAATGGGAGAGTCTGTGTTCAGAGGTTAACAAGCAACAGAGGCTGGTCACTTTGTGCAAACAGCAGCTCAAGGCTCAGCACACACTGCAGAAGGCCTGGCAGCAGTGCCCAGCAGGACAATTAGCTGAAGGGAACAGAGCCTGACCATGGCCCTGGGGACCTTCTCTCTAAATGAGGGATAACCTGGGCTGGCTGAGGCAGCCTGGGCCAAGTATACCTCATCCAAAGCCTCTCTACCAATTGTGGATTCAAAGACAGCATTTCTCTTCCCTTGTTGAAGTCTCAACCAGTCCAGCTCAGGGTCAGAGCAGAGAGGAAAAGGTTACAGTTAGTTCCCAGATAAGCTATAAGATAAGGGGACCACACCACCATCTCCATCACCAGCACACACATTGTGCTACGATCCTGTTCAACACCACCTTGAGTTGCCATAGGGACTCTGAACAATCTCCCATTTGTCTTTTTTCCTTCCTGGTGGAGATCTTGTTTCTGTCAGGGTGAAATGTCATGGGCTACCAGCAGAACCAGGGCCCACCCACGCCCAAGAAATAACTCTTTGGTGACATGCGCACAAGCTCCCCGAAGCTTTAGAGGCTGTTAGGGAAGGACTAACAGCCTATGTCTCTCTCCATTGCTGAACTTGCTCTCTAGAAGTATTTAACCCAAAAGGAACACCCCCCCACAGCCTGAGTTTAGCAGGTCAACTCGTGCTTGGGTCAGTTTGCCACGTGAATCTGTGGACATGCCTGACCCTCCACCTGGGGCGGGGAGCAAAGGCATACTAGATAAAAAGGTGGCCATGCGTTTCACCTTGCGGCCTCACATGAAGTTTAATGAAGCTAGTAAATGCTCAAGTGTCCAGTGTTGAAGGAATCTCTGTTCATCTTGTGAACTAAAACTTCAAAGCTATTTTTTTTAATATAAGATTAGGCATCATGCAAAACTTACTGGTGAAGCAGTTAATAAAATACACAGACCCCACTGAAGGGTTTTGTACATTTCAGTCCTTGCAAATAACAAAAGCAATTATAAACCCTGCATGGTCCTGAGAGTCGCTTCCTTTCCTTCTTAAAGCTGTCAGTCCTGGCCACTGGGGGCTCATGTGTTATAAATTCTAGAGGCTCTTTTAGCTGCAGTCTGAGCATCGGGTGGATCTTCTTCCTCTTCCTCGGTTCGCTTGTGTTTTAAAAACAAGTCAGATTTTAGAAAGCGGCTGTAGCTGTCATACTTCATGAGATTGAAGATCTAAGGAGGAAAAGAAAAAGACTGTGAAGCTGAGGCTAATCCAGGCCATGAACCATCCAATCAAACATTAAAAACCTACTGTGTGCCAAAGTTTACAAATATATATAGAAAACACACCAAGAAATCTAGTCGTATGCTAGGCGAGACAGGCTTCCTGGATGTTTTTGGTCATTAGCAAGAATCTCAATGGAATATATCAATCTATTAATAGTCCAGAGAGTCACATGAATGAACATACATTTATTTTCCATGAAGTATAGATTCACACAGCACTGATTCATACCCTTGTTTCCAGACGTCCATTAAGACTCCCTATTGGACAGATAACACAAGGACACCTTTCTGCAAGAGACTGAGATAGCAGAATAGAAATTGCTTCTGTAGAGTGGCGTAAAAAAGATCCATGTCATGTCGCATGATGCCAATAGTGTTACGAACCCCAGTAAGTCTGGCATCCAAGATCTCAAACAAACCCATCATTGTGCCAAGGATCAAAATGAGGCTTATTCAATGCAGGGCAGGGGAGTAAAACTACAGGCTCAGCAAAGAGAGGCTTCAGCATCAGGTCCCCATAGAAGAAAATATTGGTCACCAGCTGCAGAATGCAAACATCTGTGCAATCAGACTGAGGAGCAGAAAGAAATGATTCTGAGGTATGCCAAGTAGGTGGGGAGGACCCCTGACTGGGCCAAGTCCTCTGCACTGGAGGGCTACCCCCTGCTGGCACAGCAGGTGCTTACAGATGCCTCCTCCAGCCTCCATGGGAACTCCCTACTGGGCCTTCATCCCTGTCCCTGGCATCCCCTCTACCCTACTCCACCCAATACTATGCCACCCACCTTTGCCCTCCTCCCTCGCCCCATAAAAGAGCAGGGGAAGGAGAGGCAAAAAGCATTTTCCGGCTGTCGAGGGGCATGATCTCTTTCTCACCCTTCATCTCTCTCCCTGACCTTTTAACTTAACTTTCGGGACACTCTGCAGACTGAGATTTCACGTGGCACATGCACCCTGATGCCTTCACTTAGGGCACTGACACAGGCCTAAGTGGAAAGTTCCAGCCTGTCTAGAATGCTGCTCACTGCCTGGCAGGGTTGTTAAGTGGGTGATAAAACCCTGACATCTTTTAAACCCTTCCTCTGCCAACACATGCACAAACTATTTTGTAAATTAAACATCAGATTCAAAGGACTCAGAACATCTGGTTGGAGGATGGGAGATGCCTTGCGGTGGGGGCAAGGACGAGAACCCCTGACCTTTATGCCTTTGTTTTCCCAAGATGGGTCAAACCATAGCAGAACTTCCAGGATCACTTTGCTATAAGCAGAGTCTACAACTCAGGGGAAGACTTGGGACTCTGGATTTACTAGTGCCTGCCGTCCCCTGGTGCCCTGCCAGCCTTGCCCAAGCTCTTCAGCTGGTCAGAAAGATCTTGGCTCCTGAAGACCCCATCCTCTGTCTCTCTAGAGCACTTATCTTTCTGGCAATCTTGTAATCCTAGATGTGATTATGATTTGTTGAGGTTTGGAGAGAAAAGTTTTTAATCCCCCCAAACACAAAAATCATAGCCAGGGGAGAGGCAGGGGGTAAGGAATGCCATTATCCTCCCACCAGCGTGCTAAGCAGGTGACGCCATCCCTCACCACCTGCCTTTTACACCCTTCCAGACACAGAGTCCCCACAGGGAGTCTTCAGACGCCCACCTAGTTCAACATCAGGAACAGAAGCTCCAAACGTGACTAACAAAACAGGCTTCATGAAGGACCCTCCTGACTCCCAGCGCCGAGCCTGCTCCCACACCAGGTCCACGGCAGGCAGGACCCTCCACTCCAAGCAGGATGCGGTGCCACCTAGGCGTGTCATGTGAGGGCTCTGCGTGTGGGAGAGGAACATCCTGTTTGCCTGTCGTGGCTCTGAGGCTCCGACTTCAAAGGGGAGAAGAAAAGACTGGCTGTAGGCAGCCAGGCCGGGGAGGAGTGGAGGAAGACGGCTGCGTCAGGTGGGAGGGGTTCGGGGCTGCAGAGGGGCTAGCAGCTTGCCCTTCCACTGTTCTCCCCCACTCTACAGATGCCAGTTCTGAGGGGAGGGGGCTTGCAAGCTATTTAACAAGCACATAAGGGCCCCACCCTGCCCTGGCAGGTGTGAAATGCCCGGGATGCCCGGGAGTGCAGAAGCCCTTCAGACTGGGGCCTCCTCCTCGGGGAACCCTTCAGAGCCACCCAGACGCCGCTGTGGCCATTAGACCCAGATAGACTTGAGGAAGGAAAGAACATCACCCCCAGTGGCCTGATCCTCCTGGGCTGTGAGGAATCTCTCTACACAGGCGCAGAGGGCAGGCTTCCCACTGCCACCAACAAAGGGCCTCCTAGCCCTGGCCCTCCCCAGCCCTGACCCAGATGCACATGGCAATGGGGTCCTGCCAGTACTGAGCCCTCCGGGCATGGTGCTCAGGGAAGGTGGCAGAGGATAGAGATCCCGCCTACAAACCTCTTCCAAGGAAGCAGCCAAAGCTGGTGCACCAGCCACTGACCACAGCTATTTCCCATGGGGTACGTGGCCATGACGGAGGTCCAGCAGAAGTTTTCCAAGTGTGTAAATAGACCTGACCACCCCTGTGCAGCAGCAGAGGGCCAGGGACATGACCCAGGGCACACAACGCAGCCAACAATGCCTTCTGACCCCAGAGGGGCACTGAGTCCCCTCTTTCAATCTCTTGTTCAATCCTCACTGCAGCCCCCAAGGACCCTTGTTTTTCAGGGGAGGAAACAGGAGCTTAGAGGTTTAGTTTCCTCGCAGTTCTGGAGGTCAAGGCGCCATCAGGGTTGGCTTCATCCAAGGCTGCTCCCCTGGGCTTGCAGATGGCCATCCTCTCCCTGTGTCTTCACATGGGGGCCCCCAGGGCACGTGTGTCTTTATTTCGTCTTTTTGTAAGGACACCCTTGTAAGGACACTTGTCAGACTGGATGACTGAGAGCCCACCCCAATGACCTCATTAAACGTTAATAACCCATTAAAGGTCCTGTCTCCACATTATGTCACAGTCACTGGGGGTTTAGGACATGTAAATTTGGGGGTGGGGCACACAGTTCAGCCCATCCCAGGGAGCAAGAGAGACCGGTAGGAGGCCAACCCCGGCAGGCTCTGGAGCCCACATTCCTGACCACTAGGCAATACTGCCACTCACATGGCCAGACAACACGCAGTCATTAGAAATGAGGACAGCAAAGGGAGTTTAACATGGGAATCGAATCTGTCCATGAATGTTAAATGACTGATACTAAGTTTTAAAATCCACTAAAACTAAAAACGATGATCCCAAACGTGTTCTTTAAAAGCATGTTTGTGTATATAACTAGAAACTAAATACCCCTAAAAGTCACTTCTGGGTTGAACAGTGTCCCCACAAAACTTAGGTCCACCCGGAACTGCAGAATGTGACCTTATTTGGAAATAGAGTTGGTTAAGGATTGCACAATGAAATCATCCTACATTTTGGGAGGGCCCTAAGTCTGAAGACTGGGTCCTCATCAGAATAAGAAAGAATGGGTGGAAAAGGCCATGAAGAGTCAGGGGCAGAGATCGGAGGGAGACGGCTTCAAGCCAAGGACCATCAAGGACCGCCAAGGACAGCTGGCAGCCCCCTGCCATCTGGAAGCTAAGAAGAGGCAGGAAGGATGCTCCCACAGAGCCTTCAGAAGCAGCAGGGCCCTGCCAATACCTTGATATCAGATTCCTAGCTGCCTGAACTATGAGAGAGTAAGTTTCTGCTGTTTTAAGCCACTTGAGTTGTGGTGATTAGTTACAACAGCCTCAGAAACTAATATAGTTGGCTCATTGATTTCAACTCACTCCTGCTCAGGCACAGAAAATGAGCTGGCTTTAGGGCTCCCAGACAGCTTAGGAGAACTGGCCTCACCAGGGCTGGGCTGTGGTCAGCACCTGAACAGCACAGACTCTTTCACTGTCTACAGGGAAGAGAAAGAAGAAAATGCAAGGCCGGGTGTGATTGCTCACGCCTGGAGTCCTGGCGCTCTGGGAGGCTGAGGTAGTGGATTGGTTAAGCTCAGGAGTTCAAGACCAACCTGAGCAACAGCGAGACCCCTGTCTCTAAAACCAGCTGTGGATTTGGTGGGCACCTGTAGTCCCAGGGTGGGTGCCCAACTCCCAGGGAGGTTGAGGCAAGAGGATCACTTGAGCTCAAGAGTTTGAAGTTGCTGTGAGCTATGACATCATGGTACTATACCCAGAGTGACAAAGTTAGACTCTGTCTCAAATAAGAAAGAAAAAAAGAAGGAAAGAAAGAAAAGAAAATTCAGATGTCTGGGATGAGGAGAAGGCTCAAGGTAGGCAGAAGCCCTGGGGCAGAGCTGAGGCAGATCAGACCATGAGATGGATGGGTGAAAGAAGAGGCAGAAAGCTCTCAGTGGCAGCTGAGCCACATTCTGAACCTTTTTTTTTTTTTTTTTGGCCAAGACAGCTGTGGCTTAGCAAGGTTTCAGGTGTGGGCAGCCCCCACATCCGTGAGCTGCACGCCTAGACTGTAAACTGTTCAGCGCGGTTGCCTTGGGATCCAGTCCTACAGGCTGCTGGAGGTGGGACCAGGAGGAAAATGAGAGGGACCCTTCCAGCAGATGTGCAACTGTGCACAGCGTCCTGCTCCACAAGGTCATTGCGCCACCCAGGCACCTCTCCCTCTCCAGATCCCAGACCCTGCAGTGATTGATTGGGATCTGTCTTCCTGCATGGAAAAACATCCATGTGGTGCTCCAATCTTGTCACTGTCCTGATTCATTGCATTTCAAGTCTAATAAACATTTTAACACTGCTCTGAAGACAAGTGCAGTAGAAACCTAAACAAAGCATGCATCCTCGCTTCTTCCCCAAACCCTCTGCCATGTTATTTCAATCAGGTACAAAAAGGACAAGATAATCCTTTAAAGGGATGAACACCGTATTAATGGGATTTCGTATCGGCTTCAAGAATGTGGCTTAGTCTGTATATGGAAACTGCTGAAACAAGGTGGCGAGCACCGCCATCTCTGGACTGAAGCTCTCTCTCTGCACAGCTGAACTGCAGACACGCTCTTGTGCCTACCCCACATGAAAAGGCAGAAATGTCCCTCCAGCCCTGAGAATCAGTTGGGCATGGAAGACACAAGAATGTGCGCCGCCCTGGAGTGAAGACCACCTCCCCTTCTTCTTTGGAGGGAAAGGGGTGCAGCCGGGAGAGGGTCTGGGGGCGGCTGGCAGAGAGCAGGTGAGGAGACAAGGCAGCACAAGTCAGCCTGGGCCCCTAGTGCCAGGGTGGGCCACCCAGAAGGTTCTGTCACCATGGACAGCACTCCGGCTTCCCAGGCAAGCTGGCCAGAGATGAAGGATGTGCCTGGGTAGGATTATACCTCCAGAAGGAGACTGGGCATGGACAGAGCCAGAGATAGCCTGCTTGGGGCAAAATCCCCTCCCAGGCTTGTGTGTTCAGTGCTGTTGCCATGCATGAGGCCGTTTGTCCACTTTGTCCTGGAGTCTAGACTCACATGACATGATATACTTTCTACTTGGAGAGAAGGCATTTTATTTTGCCTTTTGCCATCAGAAGGAGAATAAGCATTCTTCAGGCAGGCACATTCTCCTCTTCTCTCCCCTATACGCCATTCTAAAGTTGTAAAAAACACTCCTAAGTATTTGTATTGTTCTGCGTGCCCAACCCCCACAAGGCAGACGGAGACGCAAAGAGCCTATTCTTCTTCCATTAGGAGGAAAAACCACAACCTGCCATTGCTGGCTTAGTGTGCGGGAAAACACCCATTTCTGGCCTGGGTTTGATCTTTTGAGCAAATGTCAGTTGGTGCCCGTAAGACTAAGGCATCCTGAATCCCCAGCTCTGGCCACCACCACAGCCCTGAGGAGGGACTGTGGCTGGCTTGAGCTCTGTTTAGAGAAATAAGGGTCTGGAAGAGGGAACAAACCTCCAGATGACCCCTGAAGGCTCCCTGCCCCAATCCGGGTCCTCACTGGCTGGCTCACCCCGTCTTATGTATATCAAGAAAGGAAGCATTTCTTACCTCTTGGGTTCTGGGGAACTTCAACAAAACTATACTGCTAAAAATGGGGCCTCATTCATGGTTCCTCTCTCTGTCAAGGATGTGGCTGGGAGCGTGACATCTCACTGAAGCATCAGAGGCTGAGGACTTCCTTTTGAATGAGGAAGGCCACCTCCACTCTGCCTGTCCAGAAGAGACTTTGGCACCAGTCCTGAAGCCTAGTAGGGGTATCCTGGTGACTCAAGAAACCTGCTTTTGCATTTGACACTGGGGTCCCTACAATTTATGGAAGAATGCGCATCCTACCTGCCCCCCCACCCGCCATGCACCAAGCTCCTAAGCTTTCTATCTTCACAAAGCTCATGGCTATTCAGATCATGCCATGCTGTGTAATTTAAACCAGAGGCTTCAGAGCAAGACAGGTGTGTAAACTGGTACTGTGAAACTTGTGGGAGCAGAAGTTTGTTTTCAGTCTTTCACATGGCACAACTCTGAGTCACTAAGGAGGCTTCAAAGTATCCCATTCTTAGGGACCGACAATGGATTTCCCACTAGGAAGAGAGAAAGAGGAGCAAGACCTGCAGGGTTTTAACTTTAGACCCTCCTGGATTACATGAATTTTCTTGTCTTTATGTTAACAATGAACATGTACTAATTCAACAATTTTATATAATTTTAAAACGTAACTTGCATAGAATCCTGCATGATGCAATAATGGGCCGACTCACACACGCACTCATGCCTGGTGCTGGTGTCACCGGCTCCTGCACCAGGCTCGTCTGGGGACCTTCTGGCCACATGGGCTAGCAGGACATACGTGTTTAGCTGCTACCCTGGCAGGGCCAGCACAGATTGATGCTGTCATTTCTTTTTCAAAGAAAAGCATGTTAGGTGGCTGTGACTAACTGATCCCCTCTGTGGTATGGCTGACTCACAGCACCTGACTGGAATCAACCAGGGCTAGAGGTGTGGACAGCACAGCTGAGCACGGAGAGGAACCCAGGAAAGAGGATGGGGAGGGCATCGGTTGTTAGATGCCAAGGCCACTGCCTCCTGTCCCAGCATCCATGAAAGGAAATTGTAGCACAGACAATCAAGGAAAGTAAGAACTCGAAGGCAAAGGGCAGCATGTCCACTATTAATACAAGTGCTTCTTGTGGAGAGCGTCCTCTTCCGGCCAGTGGCAGGGTAGGAAGGGTCTGGCCAAATCAGAAGCTCTGGGCTCAGGTTCTATCCCCGGCCCTCCCACTCTGAGACTGTGAGCTGGTGATGGTGCCTAGGACAGTGAACTCTGTCATTCACACACAAGGTACCAGGTCTACCCCCCATAAAGCTACTCCAGGGTCAAACGAGATGCAAGGAAAGCACAGGGAGTCAACTATAAGCTTAATGCTGCCCTGGACCTACTGCATTGTGGAAAACCAACAGGTGTGCTTCTGCTGCTTGTCAGGTGGGGACGTGAGGCTCAGTGAGGGTAAGGCGTGAGAATTCTGCCATGTTTGTGGACGTTGCATGAAGCCAGGGCTTGTCAATCTCAGTACCACTGTCATCTAGACCAGATAATTCTGGGTCATGGGGGCCGCCCTGGACTAGAGTGTTTATTTAGCACCATCCCTGAAATCTTGTGGCTCCAAACACGTTTCCCTCAGCTTCAATTTCTTCCATTTAGGAAAACAAGGCTCTCAAGGGGGCTTTTAGGGAACAAAGAACTGCAAAGAACCGCAGACCGTGCTGAGGGTACATTATGACAGTTGCCAGCAAGGCCCACAGGAGGCAAGAGTTTTCCAAAGCGAAATAGAACCCAGGGGCCCTTCACAGGGACTTGCTGTGAAAGCAGCTCCTCTTTCTCTCTCAAATAAATGATTCTGAACAACAGGGTGTAACAGTAGTTTCTTCACATTCCATAGTTTGGACTACACATCTGTGTGTGTGCACAAACACACTTACTATCATTACATTGATAGACCACATCTGTTGTGTGTGTACATATGAGTATTTATAGAAAAAAAGATGGACACCCTAGAAGTCAATTATTAGTTAGTAGTTATGGCCAGGTGTGGAGTCGTTCGGGTTTTTTCCCTCTTTATACTCTAGTTTTCCAAGTTTCTTTTATTGAGCATGTATGATGTTTAATGTTAGGTAGATAAAAGTTATTTTATCTTTGTCACTAGAAACAAAAAAAAAGCAGCCTCTATCTCATACGTCTCCTCTGTTTTGTGCAGCTAAACCTCCCAGCACAGAACTCCACTGGGATGTACCTGGTCGACGGAGGGTAGGCTGTGCTTTGAGATGCTCCGCAGGACAGCCGGAGGAGCCCGGGCTGCCACCACTCAGAGTCCTATCAGCCCCTCGTTCCTCACTCTTCCCTTGGCTCTGCCATCCTGGGAAATGCCTGTATATACACAGCCTCTCCACGCCTCTGCTCCAGGGCCCTTGAGGGGCTTTGAAAGCAGGACCTGGGACACCAACATAGGCTGTGGGGTCACCAGGGGAGCATGGTCATGGAAAGCAGGTGGCCAAGAGTGAACCCAGTTTCCAAGCTTCCTACTGCCTGTGTGACTTAATCCTAGCGAACTACTCAGACCTCTGAGCCTTGCTTTTCTCATCAGCAAAATGGGAATAACAATGCTCATTGGAGAGTCCACGAGACAATACATGCCAAGTGTGGCGTCCGGCTCAAAGCGCAGCACAAGGTCTCAGCCCTGGCTGTACTTTCAAGTACCCTAGGAAGCTTTTAAAAGATTCTGAGGTCCAGGGCAGGATGTATATCCCCAAGTAAAATCGCCTTTTCACTATACACACCACTTCCTTTCCCTCTGCAAATCCATGTCTATGCTTCTTTCCCATTGGCTCAAAATCACCACCTCCAGGAGGCCCTCAGCCAGTCTCCATGCAAACCAGAAGTCCTTCTACAGACAAATTTGATTCAGAATTCACATGGATATGTCACCAAATGGTCAACTTTCATCATGTCTCAAGGGCCGTATTACAAAAAGCTTACAGTATTGGGCCACCAGAAATAGGTGGAGGTGTTTGGACCTTTGCACAAACTTCCCTGGCATTTTCAGTCCTCATGCTTGTTTTCTAGATTTTTCTGTCTGTTCCTAGTTATCACATGCTGCTTCCTCAGTGTGAGTTCCTCAAACGGCCCTAGCCTCCTTTCTGCTCTGGGGTGAAAATCGAGATAACCTAATCCTGTGGGTGAAACCCTGAGCCTGGGCTTCCATTCCCATCTCTTTCACCAGCCACAGCCCTTCCCTGTGCCTCATTTGCCCAGCCAGATGTCCAGGCAGTCTAACCTGTGATGTTTCACCGACTTCTTCCAGGGCTGGAATAAACTTAGATTTTCAAATCAAGGTGCAGGGGTGGAAGCTGGGTTACCTGGTCCTGGAGTTTCTGGAACATGAGAGGATGTGGCTCTTCCAGGATCTTTTCATTGAGCCGAGACTGTCCCTCCACATTGACTTGTGATGAGGCCTTACTGGACAGAAAGGTTGTGTAGATCTCCTTTGCCTTTTCCTGCATCTGAAGGAGACAGAGGGGGCCTGTTTGTCATCTGCAAGCACAGCCTTCCTGGCCTGAGCCCTGCTGTCCCCTCTAGCCAGGTCCAGGAGAAGCTGCCATGGCAAGAGGAGGCCCTCGCAGCTGTCTGGCAGAAGCTCTGTCTCAAAGGCCAACACAGCTCAGCCCCCACCCTTCCATCCATCTGTGGGCACACCTCCTGTGACGACACTGCTATCTCAGCCATGCAGAAATGCTTGGCTACCAAGCCTACAATACCAATAGGTACCATCGTGTGGTATCTCCAGATTAAGGGTCCATGGGAATATCACTCAGTCATAAAAAAGCATGAAGCATCGACACATGCTACATACAACACAGAGGACCCTGAACACAGGATGAGTGGAAGGAGCCACACACAAAGGGCTACGGGTGGGACGATCCCATTTATAGGAAAACCTAGAACAGGCAAATCCACAGAGACAGAAAGATTCACGGTTGCCAGGGGCTGAGGACAGGGAGAAATGGGGAACGCCTGCTAACCAGTAAGGGGTTTTTGTTTGAGGTGGTGAAAAGTTGTGTAATTAGACCATAGTGATGGCTGTACAACACTGTGAATATACTTAATGCCACTGAATTGTGTACTTTAAAATGGTTAAAAATGGTCAAAATGAGACTGCTAAAATATTACCAAAATGGTTAATTTTATGTTCTGTGCACTTTACCACAATATCCATGGCAACGATCAAGTACCTGCCTGCTGTGGACACCTGCTAGGTGCGTCCCATGTCCTCAATCCTGAGACATCCAGCCAAGTGCCATTTTCCTATTAGTGCCACTTTCCCAATGAGGACACAGGTCAGGGGAGGTGACGCGGCTCACTCAAGGAGTCTGCAGGAGACTGAGGGCTGATTTGGTTCTAGAGGCTTTCAATTCTGCCATCTCCACCCCCAGGAGGCACATTAGCCCACTCCGAGGTTGTGCAGCCTGTCAGCCTCCCCAGGGGGAGTGTTTTCTCTTTCAGGTAATGAGACCCTGAGTGGAAGTGACTGTGACAGCTTCTGCTGCCTGAACTGAGGCCCCAAGTTTAGTCTTCTCAGGAAGCGAGAGCCCTAAGCAGACAGCGGCCGCCCATTTATCCTGGAGGCAGGGTAGAAAGATGGCACCCAACTAACTAGGGTCCACCTAAAACCAGCCAAGGCCAGCTGAGGGCCACCTCTGATGGGAGGAGACGGATGTCACAGTGAGTACTTTGTCTTCAAGGCGTGCTTTGTGGAGGGGGCTGCAGAACCCTGCCCCCTCCTGCCAGAGTCTGAGCCCAGGCCTCCCTGACTTCCCCCAAGGTCTATTTTCTTTTAAAGAAAGGAGTCTTCCTGTGCACACACCTGGCTAGTGGCAGAGATGGGGGCCATTTCTCTAAACATTACAGTCTAGAGCATTAGTTACCCTGCCCTGCAGAGCAGGCAGCTGCTGAATGCCTCTAAAATGCAGCTGCACAGCTGGAATGGTGGAAAGCACTACATCTGGGGGCCTGGAAAACTGTCCCCCTCACCAGAGAGCCCATCTGAGGCTCCATGTGGGCAGAGAGCTTGGCTTAGGAAATCTCAAGCTCAGAAAACCTCCTGGCCTTGTAGAAGCCACCAAAAGGCTTCTGCTGCCTGGAAGCACAGGAAAGGAGCCCTTCTTTGGTTCTGGGGACTGATGACAAAAGCCCCCAAGTGGCTGCAGTCCGGCCACCTCCTGCTCTCCCATGCAAGTGAGACTTGCTAATAATTGCAGGAAGATTGTCCAAGCGGGACCAACACCAAAAGCCACAGTGGCCATTCTTTCTTGACCACCAGGATGAGTGATTGATGCCAGACTCAAAGACACAGAAGCCTCTTGAAATAACTATGACCATCCCAGGAGATGGGCCGGGGCACCATCAGTGAGATCCAGGTGGAGCTGCTCTCTGGAACCACTAGCCTCTCTAAGACCCACCAGCTCCACAAAGCTGAGAGACCCCCAGCCCCCACCCCCCTCTGTCAGAAACATATTTGGAAAACCACTTCCTGTTTGAAAGCTGTTGCATGAAAGTAGAATTTCAGGCGGTCAGATGAACAAACTCCACGCAAAGCTGGGGGCAGAAAGCACTTTAGGCCTTCCTGTCCATGAACCTTCACACACACACACGTACATGTGTAAGCACAAGTGCACACGTGTACACATGCACACACACATGGGCATGGTGATCAGGTGAGTCCAGGCTGTAGTGAGTGGTTCTGAAAGAAAGAAGTGTAATGTGTTTCTTGAGGTTTCGATGTGGGGGTGGAAGGATCTAGGGACAGGAAGCAGGTTCCAGGGGCTGCAGGTAGACGAGCCTCTGGGTGTTGGGGCCCTGCCCCCTCCTGCCAGAGTCTGAGCACAGTGCGGGCTGAGGTGCCAGCTGCCCAGACACGCAGTACTGGGGGCGGCTGCAGCAGAGCTTATCTTAGCTGGGCTAGGAAGCATGACTGAAAAGGGAACCCTGAGACTGCTGACCGCAAGCCAGTCACGGGAAGGCCTGGTGTCCAGGCCGAGAACACTTAACAAAAAAACAAGAACCAGTCTCTGGAGCTATTTTGGTAGATTTTTCCAGAGCTTTGTTAACCCTATTCTGGCTACTATCAAGACATGAACAGAATAGCACCCCCTGGTAAAGTCAGTCCTGAGTGTGTGACCTACACACTGCAGCCCACCTGCCAGCCCTGGCTGAGACCGAAGGACGGCCGCTCCCTCCTGTTGGAGACCAAGTGTGCCCAGCATCCATCCCTGCCCAGCAGATGCTCAAAAAAGTCCCCACCTGGGCCCGTCAACTCAGGCACACCCAGTGAGCTCCTCCCAGACACCCCACAGGTCTGGGCCTTTCTTCTAGGCCTGCACCACCTCAGCAGTGAGGATGCTCAGTCAGAAGCCAGCCCTGCTCCCAGTTGGCACACAGTCAGCAGAAGCGAATCCACCTGCCTATCAGGCCCAGAAACACATCTATGCAGATGAACAGCAACGTCCTGAGGCCCAACGCTCAGAAGAGCCGCAGAGCTGCTCCCTCCTCGGGTCAGCAGCATCAACTTGTCGCATAGGGAGAACAAAACACAACTCCCTTTGACACCCTCATGGTCTCCCCACCTCCAATTCCCTACTGAAACACCTCAAAGGACAAGCGTGCACTTCCTTCTCCTCCTCCTCTCCTCCACCCAGCTCCCTGGCACCCATTCACTGCTCACTCCCACCTGCCTCTCCCTCACTGCCAGGACCCCACCCCCGCAGGGCCCCCCAAGACCTCCCTGTGTCTCTGTCTTCTTGACTGGCTGCTGTTCCTCTGTGCCTTTCATAAATTCTGGGGTTTCCCAGAGTTCTGCCTTTGGCTGGCAACTTGAAACTACACACTTTCCCGGGATTTCAGCCTAACTCTCTTCCTCAAGCTCCCAGCCCACAAAGCCAACTGATTTCTAGCAATGTGGGTATGGATGCCCGGAGGACACCTCTAGCTTAACTCAGAGGAAAGGAGTGGTCCCTTCCTGGGAAGCTGAAAGCCACAATCTCCTTTAATGCCTGCTCACACCACGGTCTTACCTGCCACCGCAGGCTGTTCCCGTCCCGTCCTGAACCCATCTCTAATCAGCCCCATCTCTGCATCCCAGCCCCCTGCCAGAGGTAGACGATGTGAGACAGAACACCTGAGCAAATGAAAAGAGCAAACCGCTAGCTTTATTAATGTCAGTTTCAGAAAAAGAATGAGGAGCAAAAAGTATCAAATAAATGAATGATATTGAGTATTTCTAAGAACTGGCTCAGGAGATGTTAAGTAGCAGGAGGAATAGCAGATAACTGCAGAAAGCCAGGAGGACACCAGGCACCTGCAGGGGTGGGAAGAACGCCAACAGGAAACGTGTCCACATAGGGCAGGGGGGCGGCAGAAGGAGCACTAGACCCCCAGGTCCTCGACCCCTACCTGACCCTGAGCCGTCTGGTGACTATGTTGCTACCCCAGCCTTCCACGAGGAGACTTGAATTGTCTGTCCTAAGGACATGGACTCGGGGAGGCTCCTGAACAGAGGGACAAAGGCCTCTGAATAAAGGGACCTGGTGAAATTCAAAGGCCCTCTGAGTAAAGGGACCCAGCAACCTTCTCCCAACCCAGGGAGATTCGTTCACCTTATGAACAGATCAGGCTTACAACCTACCAAGAGAGATTAGAGGGCCCTTGTCTGGAGAAAACAAAAACTAAAAGCAGAAATACTTCAGCAGAAGGATATGATGACAAAATTGAAATCTCTGAAAGCCAGAAAGATAAGAAAATAGGAAGGAAAAAAAGATAAAATTGAAGGCTCAGTCCAAGGCTGAGGGGCAATCACTGGAAAAGAGACCAGAGAAAAGAGAAGGAAAAAATTACTAAAATAATAACAGCAACAACTTAACAGCATTTCCCTAAACCATCAATGTCCAGATTCCAAGGCCACACAGAATACCCACACAATGAATGACGCCCCGCTAAGCCCTGACTGTACAGTTTTAGAATATTGATGAAGAAAAGACAATTTTATACTATTCCAGAGAGAGAGAAAAAAAACAAAACTATACAATTTACATATAAAATATGGATTTGTAATAGAAGTGGATGACTAGGATGTCTTCGACATTCTGAATGAGTCTCACCTTAGAATTCTATGTCCCATCAGGTTATCAATGAAGAAGGAAAAAATGTTTTCTCTCAACAAGGTCTGCACAGGCCTCTCTGCCAGGTCCCCATTTTCAGGAAGCTGTTTCCGGCTATGTACCACGAAAACCAGGCAATGACTCAGCACAGAAAAGGCTGGGAACCCAGGACATGAAACTCCCCTCTTCTGCTGGTGCAAAGGAAGATGTAGGGGGGACTTAGTAGGAAGCAGAGTCAGAGAGTTTGTTTTAGAAGATGGATACATTGGCGGCACCCGTGGCTCAGTAGGTAGGGCGCCGGCCACATACACCCAGGCTGGCGGGTTTGAACCCAGCCTGGGGCCAGCTAAAACAACAATAACAACTGCAACAACAACAACGAAAATAGCCAGGCACTGTGGCAGGCACCTGTAGTCCTAGCTACTTAGGAGGCTGAGGCAAGAGAATCGCTTAAGCCAAAGAGTTTGAGGTTGTTATGAGCTGTGATGCCACAGTAC